AATGGCTTGTTAGGACTGTGATGAAGTCTGCTGACTTGCTGACGAGGAGACTTTGTTTTTGTAATAATGAGCAGTCTTGGCTCTCTGGGCTGGAGAGTGGATTTCTAGAATCTGTGTCAGGGTGCAGCACACAGAGCACCATGTCCCACCCCCTCCCCTGGCCCCAGGGCCTTTGCTCCAACTGTAACACTTTGCCCTGGGATGTTCACATGGCTCACCCTTCACTTTATTCAGGTCCCTGCACAAATGTCACCTCCTGTGCCACCCTGTGCTAAATAACACTCCTTCCCTTTATGCTCCATCCCTCTCCCCTGTTCCCTTTTTCTTTCCAAAACATCACCACTTAAACATTATACATTTCTGTTGGATTTCTTCCTCATTAGTAGGTAAAGAAAGCACCGGGAAGTCAAGGATTAAGTCTGCTTTGTTCACTGCTAGATCCAGAACTCTCAGAACAGCACCTGGCTCACAGCACACACCAATACAAATTTATTGCATGATCAGAACTGACTTCTGTGCACAGTTAAATGTCCTGACTTCCCTCTACCTCTGACGCCATTCCTGGCTGAAATTGCTGAAGACAGCAGCCCTAGCCTGGAGGAAGCCTACTTATTAGTGTCAGGAAGGCTGGTTTGGTCAGTTAAGGCCCAAACACGTGTTCTCAATATTCAGGGTTTTATTTTTTAGCCTTTTTTTTCCTAATCATTACTCTTGATCATGAGATCTGCAACCATTTTGGAAATGGATTTGATGTGATTAAATTCTTTCCTAGCCTAATCCTTTCTGGAAAACAAAAGTTATAAATGAATGGATTTGCTGATTGTTTGATTGCCTGCATGATCATTTACCTTGGCTCTTTTCAAAACCAGGACTGGGCATGATGACCTGAAGAATCCTCCATGGGATCTTCCTGGAACGGAGCAGAGAAGATCCCCACTGTCATGTGACAGCAGTTACCGAGTGCCTGTGACCAGAGGAGTGGCCACAACAGGGGTCGGAAGGGCCAAGGCCCACGAGAGGAGCATTCAGAAAGCTTGTGCCCTTGCTTTTGCAGAGAGCACCAGTCCTTCCTGGTAACGCTGTGGTGTGGCGGGGATGGCAGCAGCATTACTACCCTGGCCTGGTTTCTGTGTCTTCCTGGAAGCCCAATGGCCACAGCTTAGCAAATGCACCGGGGCAGAGGGTGGGGGTGGCTGTGCAGGGGGATGGGGCACAAGGAGGATCTGGTAGGAAACCTTTGGTCCAGGACTGCAGGGACAAGTCAGAACCCTTCAGGGAAGAAGGGGAGGTCACCTGTGCCCCAGGCCAACTGCCACGGAGGCATCAGCGCTCAGAGGCTGTTGCATTTGCCCCTAGCCCAGTACAGAATTGGGGGGTATCAGAACCTACACCTGAAACACTGTTTTTGAGGATAGAACATAGAAAAGAAAGCCTTCCACCCAAACTGGAAGCAAAAAGGCACTGATATTTGACAGGTCCACTCCAGTGATCTGGAACTCTCTGTGGGAGACTTGTTCTTGGCAAGCCAGAAGTGGGGCAGCCCTGTTTCCTCTCTGTAACCCCAGAGAGGTTACAGACTTGCCAGGCCCCATGGGTCAAGCTGGGGTGAAGCTTGGCTCTTACCAAACATTTGGTAACTCTCATAAATGGGATTTTCTCCTTCTGCTAATTTGACTTCTAATCTGGGGGACTGATTATGTTGGGGAGGTGACCTATTTCTGAGGCACTAGGAGTGGGGACAGAAGGGTTTCTTTTCCTAATGCAGGTGTTTTGATGAGGATTTGGGGCTCCAGCCTCAGGGCCCACAGCAGCCCTAGATCTGCTGTCTTACTGGCCTGGACAGTAGAGTTCTGGCAGCGCTGCCAGCTGCCTGGCAGGTTTCACGATGGGAGATGCACAGAGCCATTCTGAGAGTCCTGTTGTCCCCTCCCACCACGAGCCTAGCCACTCTCAGATGCAAATGGTGACTGGAAGTAAATCCTGTCACTTGAGACCCTCTTTTTCCTCTCCAGGCCTGGAGAAATGAGCTGAGCCACAGGAGGGCACACCAAGGTGCCGATCTTTTATAGTAAAACCCAGGTTCACATCCCCTCCTGACTGGGTGCAATTCAGAGGCTGCTGGACACACATCCCTGTCCCAGCTGGGTCTCACCCCTGAGAGTAGAAGTCCAGGTTACTCCTTAGCCCTCAACAAAAGATGTAACTTGCATGGGGGAACCCGTTCCTTATGCTGGACATGGTACCACCTCACCCAGTCGTGTGCCCTGCCCCATCTGAGAAGTCCTTCCATCCCAGCTTTTGGCCTGGGTCAGTAGCAAGGCTGGGATTTGAAGCCCAGGGGTCTGACGCCAGAGCCTGTGCTCTCAGCCAGCCTGCCATTCTTCCCCTGGGGCCTGTTTGATGATTCATTTCTTATTCTATACCCAGACAATGAGGCGTAAACCAAAATAAAAGTGGGCTATTATGATATCACTGTTTGCCGTTTATCTAAATTAGATAATAAATCACAGAGCTACTTGAAACAATATACATGTCAACCTCCTGAGCATCTAGTGATCACTTAGTACCTTTAGATGGTGCCTATGGTATAATTAGCACTTTTGTCTAGAAAATATGATCTTTCTGTGAAATGGAAAAGGGAATGAGGAAATATATTGAACTCGACCCTCCTTTTCTTTGGGGACCCGCCCCGTAGTGGTGGTGGTGGTGGTCAGCTGGGATGGCTAGGGCTGGTGGGTAGTGAGCAAGCATTCCAGCCCACTCCAGGCTGGGACTGTGGCCCCAGTTGCAGAAGCCCCAGCTGTGTGACGCTGCTGAGTCCACAACTCCATGCCCATTCATCAGCCTCGGCATAGTTGGGCATCTGCCACTGGCATCTCCAGATGTTTGCCTTTGTCAGACATTGGTGTGGTTCAGTATTTTCATTGAAAGCCTCATAGAAAGCTCTAGCTGGCTGGGGATACTTATTGCTAATTTTATTTGAGTTCCTTATCGTGTGCAAAATGTTCCAGGCACCATTAAGAGACACAAAAGCCTCAGAATACACAGTTTCAGTGGGCAGAAGCTCACTACAGCGTGGAGAAAACATGGTCACCAACATTTACAAACATTTGCTGAACACAATCAGCTGGCAGAAATAAAAGTTACAGTGGCACATCAAGGCAGGGGGTTAGGAGGGGGCAGAGTGGTGGAGACCGAGGATTCAGTGCTCACCTAAGGGAATCTTCCAGAATCAGATGGGTGTTTCAGGCTGTTTGCTTATTAATGTGGTCTTCAGATTACTTCCCAGCGAGACTGGGGTGTGGGGGACCAGACAAGAAGTAGAAGCTTAGACAGATCTTGCTTGAAGTCAACATTTGAGGTACAGATCCAGCCACATTATAATTGTTGCATAGCCATGAATGTAATGTGGCAAGATGCACTGATTTACACGCAGGTTGCGAAGGACATTTTAGGGAGAACAAAATGAAGGCAACGAGAACTATTCCCATCAATTTACCAAATTCATGTCTGAGACAGTGTCTTGGAAGCACAGATAACCCTGCTCATAGGCAAAAATTAAGGCTGTCTTCCTTGGAAAAAGATCATTTAAGTGATCAATAGCCTCTTGAAAGCATATTTTCGAGAGTATTTCTTTTTTTTAGATTAATTTCATTTTATTCTCATTAAAAAAAAAAGCATCTGTGAAGGCTTATAACAAAATATATAATAGTGAGATTGTTAAAAGAAATAGGAAATTAGAACCCAGTTAGAAAAGCGAATACAAATTTCCTAACCATAATGGCTAACCTTACATCTGTGACCAATCTCTAAACTTAGCTCTGAGCTTCCTAGAATTCAAGGTGAAAAGGGAAAAATCATCACGTACTTAAAAGGACAAAGTATGTCAATTCATGAGTATTTTATTATTTGTGAATTTATATGAGTAAGAAAGACAAAGGAAACTTCTGGGGGAAATGGCGATTTTTAAAAAATATTTAGAATGAAAAAAAATGGATTTTGAAATTATTTGTTAGAGGCAAAGCTTGGGCAACAAAGACAGACACATGCACTAAGATCAGGGTGAGCCTGAGGTGGCTTTGGTTTGATCAGTTTATTGCTGAGTGATTCACTTCCTGTGGTGTGAAGCCAAAGCCACAGACCAGGACCCAGGCATTTGGCAGTGTCTGGGCTGTCCTCGGGAAGAGGCTGTGTCTGTTTCTCTGGTCTGCCAGACAGTGCCTGGTACATTTCGCACACAAAGAACCGAACCAGGGCTGTCTTCTCTTAAGTGGAGAACTCCAAGAGGGCGAGGGCACATTCCTAGCACTGTAGGTACTGGGAGCCACTCAGTGTTGGATAACAGCCCTAAGCGAAAAATGGGAAAAGCATCCACAAAATGACAAAAGACATTTGCAATTGAGTGGGGGACTTTTCAGAGCTGTGGATGAAAACAACCAAATCTGTCAAGTGTTCTCCACGGAGAACCCCCGGATGGACTTGCCGGGGGCCTCGGATGGGTGGGTGCAGCCCGGCTTCCTAGAAGGCCCTGTCATGGCCCTTCTGAAGGCGGGCTCGGCCCGGGGTTGTGCTCAGGTGTGCCGGGTCAGGGCTCGCAAGGGCCGGGAGGGTGGTACTGGGCCCCGACGGGGTGGGAGGGGCGTCGTGCGGGGAGGGGGCCCCGAGCGCCCACAGGGTCCTGTCTCTAGTGACTTCGCAGCGGGCTCGGGGGGATTCGCGCAGGCCCGCGCTCTACCCGCGGCCTTGCTGGCGCCTCTCATCCTCTCATGACCTTTGTGTGACTCTATTTGCTAGAAAACGCCCCAGAGAGCTCCCTGAGGCCCACTCAGAACACCCTTCCCGAGAAGCGGAGCCCCGAGCCCAGAGGGGCAGCGCCAGGCGTCCAGCGCCCGACCCTGAGGGCGCGGGGGCGCCGCCATTGGGCGTGTTGACGTGCGTGCGCGTTTGCGTGCGCATGCCGCATGCGCAGTCAGGGCGAAGGCTTCGCGCCGGGCCTGGAACCCGCCAGCAGGGGGTGGGGCTTAAGGCAAGATGTCGCCTGCGGCCTAGGCAGGGCCGTGTGGGCCCCGCCGGCCCCACCCAAGCTGGCTTCGTGTTGGGGGACCTTGTGTCTGGAGCTGCCCGAGCTGAGAGGCCGAGCGCGGCGGGTGTGAGGCCAGGCCAGGAGGCTCTGAGTAAGTCAAGTGTCCTGTTGTGCCTCGTCTGTCCTTGTTGCTGAAGTGGGGATTGGGCGGGTACCCCAGAAACACCAGATTGAGGTGTCCCGAGAGTGAAATGGAACAGATTCGTGTCGCGGCCGGCTGTGCGCGCCAGGTGGTCTGACTACGGTTAATAGGGTGCCCGGGAGGCCGCAGGACGCGCCGCCTGCTCCCCCACCTTGACAGAGGTTTCACACCCGGGGCAGACGAGGCTGAGCTTAGTCACCCGCAGAGGCGAGCCGCGGGGCCTCCATGACTGTGCGTGAGAAGTGGGGCATCCAGACCAGCCCTCTGAGCCTTGGGACAGTCAACTGCCTCGAAGGCCCGGGAGGGGCAACCCCTGGCGCCCTAACTGTACCACATGAGACCAGAGACTTAGTGCTCGCAAGAGCCTGAGTACAGAAATGACTAGTTACTCCGTGATGTTTGGGAGCACGGTGCTGGGCCAGGGGCGATGCGTGCTGCGGGAGGGGAGGAGGGGAAGGCTGAGAGGGTGGGCTCAGATGTCACACTTGGGGTTCAGGACAAATGGCACATGCTTTCCCCTGTTGGGGCCCTATCAGTGCCCTCCCCCTCCCCCCATGCCCTTTATTTTTATGTAATAAAGCTAGCAACTCTAAATGAAGGGGTTAAGAGCTAATGGATTTAAATCAGCCCGACTTTGGACACCTAAAACTCAAAGAGCTCTGAGTCAAAAGCTCAAAGTACTGCATGAGCGTTCCCGGCTGGCTGCAGATCCTGGCTTTGCTGCAGGGGTCGGCTGACAGTCATTTTATCTTTCTGCACCACCAGGGCTGGGAAAACTGGAGTAGATTCTGGGCTTTCGCTTTGTTGGTTTTGTTCGTTTGTTCTTTAATTTAGAACTTCCCCCAGACACGGAGAAGGATTTATAAACCAGCTGAAGGTCCTAACACTCCTATTACAAATAATATAGGTAAACCCAAGAGTAACAGAGGTACCCGCAGCATCGGCAGGCCCTGGTTCTGTGATCCATGTAGAGAATTTAGGCAGTGAAGGCTAGCATCTGAAATGTCGGGTCAGGGGTCGCTCAGATTTTGCAGCAGTTGCCCATGAGTTCTGCCTCAGTGGAGGAGAACTGGTTGGGCATCATTAACTGCCACTGTGGGTGGGTGAAGGGAGGCTGCTGTTCAACCTGAAGGTGTGAAGAGAGAACACAACAAGTTTGAGGTGCCAGCTGGAAGAGACCCTGCGGCTGTTCTGCACTATGGCCAGTAGGCCCCTGAGGGCACGCTGGATTGAACCCCGGCAGAACATCCTGTGTGCATCCCCTCAGGCTGTCAGACACGGAGAGTCAGTCCGGCCTCACCAACCTCCAAGTTCAGGCTTGTCTTCCAGCCAGGACCACCTCAGTTCAGTTATCAGAGACCGGCATGAACTCTGAACTCGGGCACCTGGTATTTGGATACTGCGACATAGTTGCAGTAGGGAGCACCAGTTGTGGGGATTATGCTGCTGCCTGACCCAGATAGGGGTCCAGATCTGGGGTCTGAGAACCCAGATTAGCCACTGTCTTGATTCTCTTCTTGGGACCTCTTCTCCCCTCCCTTGCAGCCATGGTTGCAGGGATGAAGAGTGAGGGGTAGGAGGAAAAGGGACTGAGGGGGAGCTGATGGCTGTCTGGGCTGTCCATAGTAGTTGAAGCTGGGCAGGTGGAAGTGAGGATGGGCCACATCAAAGATGAGGCCGCACCCAGCAACCGACGTACAGAGCATCCTTGTAAAACTAGCTGCGCCACTAAAGCAAGCTCTGGGCTTTACCTTGGTTTTTGATTCTGTAAACAGAAGCTATTAAAGCCTTCCCTGCTTTGCCCTCTGGCACCCCAGGGAGGGGCTGTGATATACTAGTGATCCCAGGGCAGTGGGGATGGACATCAAGAAGTACCAAGGACTGGATTGAGGGCGGGAAATGGGGGCTAGGAATGGAGCTGGACCAGGAGGGCCATGGAGGCAGGATGTTGGTGGTCAGTTGTATCAGGAAGTTTGTGAGCAGCCAAAGAGTAGTTGTTGAGAAGAAAACAAGCCAAAGATTGCCATGTGGGAGGGCCTGGATTTTTGAATCAGTGATGGGTCAGGAAGGAGGAGACAGGAGAAAGCTGGCAAAGTGCAGTACATGGAGGCCAGGGAGGCACAGGCAGTTGCTGGTCAGAGCTACCCCCAGCCAGATGAGACTGGGGAGTCCTAAGCCCCTTTCCTGGGAAAGGAGTAAGGAAGGGAAGGCAAGAAGTGCACATTTTGAGGAATGAATGGAAGGCAGAAAATTTTACTGCCTGTCAAGGTATCCATATAGCAGCCTGTTAAGAACCATGAGTGCCCAATGCCCAGCCCCAAGACACGCTGCCATTGCTGGCTGCCAGACACAGCCCTTGGGAGTGGACAGGAAGAAGTCCACAGACAGGATGACAGCTGCTAAGTCCTTCAAGTGATCAAACCAACTAACACCAAACATATATACAAGGTCAAGTTCAGGAAATTCAGATTTCTAGCCACGTCTACTTTCCAAAACATAGCTGTGAATTCAGAAGTAAACAGAGAATATCTCTCAGCACTCAAAACCACTGCCACAGCATCTCCAGTGCCAGCTTTGTAAGGAGAGTCCTCACGGGGCGCCTACCTCCTTTTATTTAACACACAGTTCTGGAAAACATTGTTACTTGGTTTTAGTTAAAAAAAAAAATCAGACTCAAGTGAAAAAGCACAAGGTAAGTGGCTTTGCAAATCTCAAACATTAGGATCATCACAGCGAGGAACTGGCCTGCTCAAGCTCTCGATTCCACTCAAGACTGATACTCAGTGACTTCCGGATTTTGTAAAGAGGATCCCCAAGTCAGGATGATGTTGTCAAATAGTATCGCATCACTGTTGCTTAAGAGGTCAGGGCGGTGAATGGTACAGGTTGGAAAGTTGTGTTTTAAAAAAGCTTAGGCTCTTGCAGAAGGAATGAACACCTACTATGTGCTCTTAAATATATTAACCTAACAATTCTATAAGTAGCTGTTTTCACCATTTCATATAAAAGCAAGCAGTTGTAGAGAACTCGAGTGGTTTGTCCCGGCTTGCACTTCAAATGCTCTTTCCACACCACCATCTGCTTCCCTGCAGAGTCCTGAGTGTGCCTGTGGGAGGCCTGCTCTCTGACAACAGGCAGACCTCCTGGACCTTAGCTCGGGCGAGACCCTAGAGGGTGCTGGTGGTGCTCACTGACCCGTCGGCTCACTGTGGGGCCAGATGTTCCTGCCCTGGCTTCCAAAGCTTTGATCTTTCTGAGGGTTGGGGGCAAGGGTGGTCCAGTCCTGCTCCTGCTTCTGAATCCAGAACAAGTTCCCCTGGGTAGACCATGAGTAGGGGGAAGGCCTTGCAAAAGACAAAGAGCTGCAAGAGCCCCATCACCAGGGGTAGCTTTGTGAACCCCGTCTTCCAGGGAAAGTGAGTCTGCTCCCGAAGGACTTGGATGGTGACTGGCTCTGTTTTTCATTCTCTAATCATTCAGAAAAATACATCCATTTCAATTTATTCAAAACGGTGGAAAATCATTGAGGTTTTTCCTGTGTAAAGGTCAAACTATAAAAAGATAAGTGGACTCAGAGAAATCCAGGCTAGTCACGAAAACGTGGCAGCATATTAAAATGGATCTGAAAAGGATTTAATCCTCCTTTGGAAAGAGCTCATAATAATCCCCTCTCTACTCTCCGCCATGTGTATTATATTCCAGTTTTTAGGTTCAAGGACATGAGGTAGGTGACTTTAAATGCGTAGAGCATGGGCTGCACAGCCCAGGGTCCTGGATTTGACTTCCTGGCCACTGCACACCACATGAGGAGCCTTGAGCAAGCACGTTTATGTCCCCAAACCTCAGATTCCTGCCCATAAAATGGGGAAGATTCCCCTTGTCTTGGACAAGGCCTGCTGGGCTCCCTGGTAAGAGCCAGACCTTTGGACATTGAGGGCCATTGCCACCAACCTGTCTGTGACTTCCACCTGAGAGGCAAACAGACGAGGCCTGACTGAGCCTTCTGGCCATGCAGAGTAGGAGGGGGGCGCACTGTTGCCACCGCCAGGAGGCAGGTCCCCTGCTCTGACCTCCTTCCCCCTCTCTGGCCACTGGACATTCCCAGGCTGGTAGGACGCTGCCGCACGCGGACTTGGGTGACCTGTGAAGTCCTTGCAGCTGGGAGATAAACAAGTAACTGCGAGAGCCCCATCACGAGAACATTTTAAAAGGGCACTTGGTAATTTAGCTGCTTTGGTGAAGCTGAGCAGGCGATGGGAGAACGATAGAGTATTTTGAAAACAGCCTGGACAGTAAAATCCTCACTTTCCTCTTTAATAATTAAGAACTGGGAAAAAATCTTTAAGGGGAGTCGTTGGGAAGATAAGGAACAGCTGTGGCCCCGCTTCTTATCAAACCAGAGCTCCATCTCTGCTACCTTTTGTGCAGCTCTGCCAAGCGGTGAACCTGCCTGGCCTCCCACATCAGTCCACTCTGTCTAGTGGGTAGAGGAAGGGATTTGGAAGATGAAGTCAAGTTTACTGTGACAGAGACCTCCAAGCCTGCAGATGGGAGCTGGCTGTTGTTTTTTGATGTGTCCAAGTAGAAACACAAGGGAGGATGTGTACAAAAACAGTAGGAAAAGTGCCAGCTCTAGGGTCCAGCCAGTGGCGTGGCAGGAGACGAGGAAGACTGACAGCGGCCAGGCCTGGCAGGTATCCAATCGAGAGAGGGACATGTCTCCATTGTATTCCACAAAGGTCACATGGACTGTGGGAGTGGAAGGCTCAGAGGCAGCTGGGCCAGGTAGAGGTTGCCCTGGTCACACAGTGGTGGGGATGCAGGCAGTGATGCATCAGAGGGCCAGTGAGGCGTGGGGCGCGGAGGGCAAGGGAGAGCGGATCTGGAAGGGGATGTAGCAGGCCTGAGGTGTGGGCACCTGGGTGGATGGTAAGACCTCAATATGAGATGTGATGGGTGGATGGATTTGGGGTTCTATGATGAGTCAGAGTTGGGCAGTTGAACTTGAGGTTCCTGGGATACATTCAGGTGGACCTATCCATGAGGGCCTGGGACATAAAAGTGCAGTTAGGGAGCGAATGAGGGAGAAGATAGGAAAGTTCATGAGGTCAGCACACAGGCAGTGGGCAGCTAAAGCCAAGGAGTGGATGAGCTCCTGTAGGGACGGTGCAGGGTGAGACCCAGAGAGGCCAGGAAGCAGCTCCAGGAATCACTGACATTTGGGTTGGAGGAAAGAGACTCATGGAGAAGGCCCAGGAATGGGCAGAGAGGTGACTGGGAGAGTATGGTGTCAAGGAGACCCCCAGTGGGATTGCCTTAGAGGTGGGACTCACAACTGGGTTAACCTGTGGGTGACAGATTTGGCCCCATCAGCCATGCCAAGGCTCATGCTGTGGTTTCACTCACGCTGCAGGTTTGCAAGGGTTTGTTCTTCTGAATGGAAGGTTCAGAATAGGCATCTTGCAGGTTTCCAGAATATCTGTCTATGGAAACTGTCCCACATCTGAAATTTTCTGTCAGGATCTTTTTAACTTAGGTAACTTGAAAAGTGTAAGCAGGGTCACTGTGCGCATTAAAAAATATTTATAACACTTTAAATGATAACATGAGGTTCTATTTTTGCCATTCTTCATATTTGTCAGATGAAAAGCCTAATTTCAAAAGATCTACAAATTATGTAATTTGTAGACTATTGGCGAGTCTGCCTCTTCAGCCATTTTTCTTTTTCAGGCTACAGGAGACCTGCCTTTGGCCATTAGGTATTTAATGTGACATGCTCTGCTTTGCAAAGTAAAAGAAAAAGGACAGGTTTTGGCTCAGATACAGCAGCTTTGCCCCCAAATGTCTCCAACAGCCTGATTTAGTATTAAAGCTCTGAAATGATTGATTATCCATTAGGGTGGCTATTTAAAGAGTTCATCACATCAGATTCCAACCGACAACATCTGCGCTGCAGGGGCAGACAGACGAGGCCAGGCAGGACTCAATGGAATCTGAATGGCACCGGGTATTCTGCCCTGCGAGAGAGTTCAAGACAGGCCTTCCATTAAGAAAGAAACAGATTGTTGTCTCCACTGCGCCTGGTGACGGCCTGTGCCGGCTGCCTCCTGGTGGTGGTGGTGGGGGGGGTGGTTGTGGACTCCTTGCTCTGAATGTGAACTCTCTCAGGCCATGGCTCAGACCCGGACCCTTCCCCTTGCCTTATGCCTCACCCCTACCTCCCCCCATCCCCTTCCCAGCTGTGCCTCCCTGGGGTCTTAGGTCCTGAGCTGCCCCCCTCCCATTGTGCCCTCCCTGGGGCACTACAGCAGCCCCTGTAGGATTTCCCCCTGATCTCCCCTGACTGTCTTGTCCAGGATGTCACTGACAGACTCAGCAAAGTTTAATGCCATTGTTGTCTTTGAACCCTGGCAGATTTCCTTGTAACGCATTACCCAGTTAGTCCCCTCGTTTGCGTCCTTGTGTGCTTAGCAGAGTTTACCTTGGCAGGTTTTGGCAGGGTCACCAGGAAATAATAATACTGGTAAAGCCAGATGCTTGATCGAGCTTTCGTTTCTGAAGTCGTGTGTGTGTGTGTGTGTGTGTGTGTGTGTGTGTGTGTGTGTGTAGGTAGGTGTGCCTAAGGTGGGTGTTAGACAGTTTCCAGCCTGAAGTCATCGCTGCCCATGCTAAAGGGAACAGCCTTTGATGCTTCAAACTCCCGCTGCTGCTGTGTCAGAGCACAGGCAGTGCTGTACCGCAGCGCCCCTTGACTGAGCCTGGGGCCTGCCTTGTCTAGGCCCAGGTGCCTTGCCTCACAGCCACAAGAGCGGTGTGGCTGGAAAGCTCCCTACAGATCACTGGGGTCCTTGGTCACAGATGCCACACCCAAAGCTTCTCTGTCGTGGCTGCTGTGCCTTGTGCCTAGACTCTGTTTTCAGGGCCGGCGCATCCATCCCCTAGAGCTGGCACTGTCTCACAGCAGCCTCCCTACCTGGGAATTGTTTCAGCGCAGGGGAACTGCCTCGTTCAAGGTTAAGCCCGCACCCAGAAGTTGGTTTATGGCTGGTGCTGGCTGATGGGAAGAGGGCACCTAGGCCAGGTCCCTGGCCTGCCATGTGGGGCAATCCTGAGGGGCCTTCTCAGCTCCTGGGTTCCCTTTGGAACTGCTGTGGTCTCCATTGCAGCCACCATCTGGGTCAGTTTCTACCTTCTTAACTTCCTTATACTCTCCATCAAGTCTGCAAACGACTCAGGGCCCTCAGCCGGGAAAGACTGGACTGACAAATAACCCCTCCTCCCCGTTGCAGACACACCCTCCCCCTACCCCGGCCACCTGTGCTGTCACTGCGGAGACGCCTCAGTTCTATTATTTCACTTTCTGTGACACTCAAGTCTCCATAAGAGGTCACTTGGGAGGCATTTATTTGTTCTTAGGTTTGAATTTAGGAAAAAGTGTGCTTTGGGCCTTTGGTCGGTGTTTGTACTACCGGTGCCAACAACTGCGGAAGCTGTTGGACTTTCTTTGCTCTGGGTGCTAAGAACTTCAGGCCTGGTTTGAGGCCCATGTGTAACAAGGCACTCTGGCACCTTCTAAGTTCCCTTAATGCACCTCCTCACTATTGTTATCTGTGTTTCTTTGTGGTGTGACACAGTTCCCTCTGCGCAGAGTCTGTCTGAATGAGATGGGGTAGAAATGAGTAAGCAGATACATACAGCTGAAGGGTGTGTTGTCAGACAGACCTGGCTGCTGGTTACCAGCTCTGGGACATTTGCCAAGTCACAATTTCTCTAAACCAGTTTCTTCAGCCAAGGAGTGGGCCTGATGCCTGCATCACAGCATTATTTTGAAGATCCCCATAGTAAGCACGTGCCTGGTAAATAGCGCTCGGCAAAAGGCAGCCGTTAATACCAGCTCCGTGAACCTGCCCTGCCATGTGCTCCATCTCCTTCCTTCCTCCCCCTCATGGGCCACTGGCAGCTGAGATGCATTTCTGGCCTGTTGGGTTTTGCTTTCTTTCTTTTTTTTTTTTTTTCCTTAAAATATTTATTTATTTATTTGTTTGTTTATACAAGTACTGGGGTACAGTCAGAAGCGCGGGAGGGTGAGAGAATTCACCAGAGCCAGAGCGGGGAGCAGAGCAGGCAGAGGGACCGAAGTACACTGCTGAGGGGAGCAAGTGGGAGAAAGATGCCCACTCAGGCACCCACAGCTCACGCCAGACTGTGGACCAGCAGAAGGACCAGTGGCAGTGTCGGCCAATTGTTAATCCAGAGAGGTGGGTGCACAGTTTAAACGCCCACAGAAATGTGCACCTACTTGGCTGGAGGAAAACTAAAAATAAAACTATGTAAACGGAGCCTTCAGAAAATGAAAAAAAGGTTGTAGATGAGAGATTGGTGATGAGTAATTTAACCAAGACGATGTAAATCTAGGCCTTGGAATTCTTTAAATATAACCATCTGACATAAAAAGAATTTCACTAAATTTTTTAAAGCCAAGATCCTTCCTAGGGTGAGAGACTCGCTTTCCTAATAGGAACACGGTCCCCAAAAGGCAAGTGGGGACGGTGGAGAATAACATCCCTGTCGGCACCGCATCCCCTCTCGGCAGTTTCAGAGGATGCTGCTCGGGGTCCGCGCCAGCATCCCCTGCGCCACGCGACACCTTGCAGACCAGTTTGGATTCCATCTTGGAATGCAGACGCCATTCCAAGGGTGAGATGGTTTGGGAAAGTCTTTTGCTCATTCCTGAAGTCAGCCGGCCCCTGGCTCACGCATGTGCCACACGGGCCTGAGTGTGTCTGAGCTCGCCCAGAAGTGGTGTGAACTGGAGTTCCATGCCTGTCTTGGGGAAGGAGCAGGGAACTATTCCCTGCCAGGTCTAGGAGAGGTCGCCTGCTAGGAGAGGCGGGGTGCCGACAGGGGGCTCAAGGGCAGGAGGGAGAAGGGGCCTGCGCGGGGAGGCTGGGTAGCCGAGCCCTTTAGCCCGAGTGGGGTGAGGGCTGCTGGGCCACACCCGTGGGCTGGTTTAGGAAAGACTCAGTGGGTCTTGGGGGAAACTGCATCAGAGCTGCTGTGGCGGCCAGTGCCACAGGGAGAGGCTGGGATCTGTGGCCTTGAGGCAGGGCCCCCCCGCGAGGACTGGCTGGCGTTTTGGGACGAGAGCTGTGTGCGTTAACCAGCCTCATATTTTGATGAGGCCTCAGGAGCCTTCCTCTCGTGGGGGGATCAGCCAGCGCAAGAGAGACAGTCCGTGCTTGGGGAGCAGGGAGCTCCTGCTCACCACAGGCGGGACAGGGTCCCCCTCAGGGCGTGGCTGCGGAAGGAGGCAGGGTGGGCCTGCGCTTTTAGACTCTCAGCATCTGTCTCCTGAAAACCCATTCCCTACCCGCTTCTCTTGTACCGCGGGAGTCTGGATGAGTAGGCTAGCCCCGTACGCCGCCTTATTGCCATAATCAGTTACTTCTCTACCTGGGATCCCTCCCTCAGGCCCGTGTAGCACAGGTGCCGCGAGCCCAGGCTGGTACATTTACCCCGGGTGATGACGGTGCTATTGACAACCATAATGAAGCCCAGCCTTATTTCTAAAATAAGCGTAATGACAACAACGATAACGGCAGTCCTTAGGGAGTGGGGGAGAGGTCAGACTTTGGAGCCAGACTGCCTGGGCCCTTATCCGGGCTCCACCTCTCACTAGCTGTGGGAACCTGGAGGTCAGTTCTTTGTGCCCTGCTCCATCCTCTGTAAAATGGAAATCAGAGTAGCTAAGTATTGGAAGGCATTTAGAAGAGTGCTTGGCGCATGGTAGGGTCCTTACTGGCTGTTGCTATCAGCATTACTCTTCTTGTTTTTAATGTCATTACTGTGGGCACAAGGGCTTTTCATGTACTGCATCATTTGAATCTTGCAATCCTATAAGGACGAGGTACTATATTATCCCACTTTGCAGATGAGGAAACTGAAGTGTGGACAGACTGAGGGATTTGTGCAGCCTGCTGCGGAGCCCGTATGCTCCTCGCTCTGGTTGACCCTGGCAAGGCTGAGCAGTGCGGTTGCCCAGGATGAAAGGGCTGCTCACCATTACCCAACAGTGCTCCCATCATCCCTGCCCTGCGTGGGAGGCTTCATCACTTCTGCTTAATCCACAGGCACAGGTAATAACAGCCAGGTGAGTTAAGTGGCTCCTAGGCAGGCCTGCCTCTTCCAGCTAAGCTGCTTTTGAACCAACTGATCAGGAAGGCTCTTCAAAATCATAATTTAACTGCTCGGCAGCATCTATTGTTCTGTGCGTGGAAGCAGCTGCCCCACAGGCCACCCCACTTGGCGCTGTGGCAGTGATTGATACGGATATTCCGCGTTCATGTGAGGCCTCTCTGCTGAGGCCGCAGAGCACTTTGCAGCATTAATTAAGCTCCATGGTGGTGGCGCTGGTAGGTGGGGCCTTGGATCCACTTTACAAGTCTTTAGCTGATGCATAAAGAGACCAAATCGCTTCCCCCACAAGCCACGGCCTTTAGCCTGGCCACGCCCCAGTGGACATTCTCTATTTCCTGTAGTTTGACCAAAGTCAGTCATAGAGAAGAGACTTCCTTGATTGTCCTTCCAGACTTCAAAACAATACCCAGCTAGCACATACCATTTCCCATTTGACTTAGGACTGGGTTAACAGCTCTGTGGCTGGGCCATCTCTGGTGCTCACCCCCGGCCACCCGGCTCGTTAGGTTAACTATGTCAACGAGGGACGGACGTAACTCAGAGCTTGCCCCCACCAGCAGGTCAGAGCCTCTTGGCCTAATGTACGTGGGGCGTCTGGGGTCAGGTCTGTCTCTGCGTCATTCCCATCCTCCATCCCTCATCTGCCTTACCCCATCTCCGGTTCAGTCCTCACACACCTGCTGCCTGCTTACTATGCCTCTGATACCCGGGGCCTTCTGGACGGGCAGACATAGATCACGTAATTCAGCGTGAAGCTATTGGGTTTCCACCAAGGATGAGGGAGAGCCACAAGAGGGAGAGACATGGTCATATTTGTGCTTTGGGATGACGGTTCAGGAGATGTGTATGTGGGTGGAGGATGGGGAGGCCCAAGGCACGGAACCAAGAGAAGGCCATGGCAGTGGGTCAGGGGAGTGCACTTGGGGTTCTCCTTGGCTGTGAATGGGGTGAGTGGGGTGTTTAGAAAGGAGATTAGCAGGACTTACCTAGAGGTGGGCATGAGGGAGAAGGAGGAGCCCTAGAGGGAGCTCCAGGCCATTAGATCTGCTCTACCGCTGGGCATTTGCCCCTCTGATCTGGTGTTGGGTTTGGTAAATTTGTGACAGATTTGTCAGTGTTACTGCAGATGACCGCCCTGGCTCCCCCTGAGAAGCCATTTCAGGTAGAAAAACGGATAAATCCCACTTCCTTGACTTCCATCTCTTGGGGACCATCCTTTCTTGCTTGGCCAGAGAATGAGGCCCAACGCTCAAGACTCAGCCTCCATTCCTGGGCCATGGACATTCTAGGGAACAGCTGAATTTGAGCCACACTAAAATATGGGGGATTTGTTCCCCCACTTGACTGATGAAGCCAAGGTTCTGGATTAAGTGGCCTCTCTGTGGTAGGCTGAGTGGAGACCCCTGAAAGATGTGTGTGCACTAACCCTTGGAACCTGTGACTCACTTATGTTATATGGCCAGAGGAACTCTCAGAGGTAATTAGGTTAAGGACCTTGAGCTGGGAAATTTTGTGGACTGTCCAGCTGGGCCCAGTGTAATTACAAAGAAGGAAGAAGGGGATAAGGACAGAAGCAGAAACCATATGCTTTGAAGATGGAGGGAGGAACCACAAGCCAAGGTACGCAGGTGGTCACTGGAAATTAGAAAAGGCAAGGAAGGGCCTCCCTGGTGGTGCAGCGGGTTGAGCACAGAGCTGTGAAGCTGTCCACAGCCTCTGCAGTGTGGGTTCAATCCCCAGCCAGCCAGGGAGATTCCCACATGGCGCGGCAGACCTCTCCTGTTGTGCCTGCTGCTCCCCTCAGCAGTGCTTTCGGTCAGTCTGCCTGTTCTTTTTTTTTTTTTAAAAAAAAAAAAAACATTTATTTATTTATTTATACAAGCACTGGGTACAGTCAGAAGTGCGGGAGGGTGAGAGAATTCACCAGAGCCAGAGCGGGGAGCAGAACAGGCAGAAGGACCGAGGTACACTGCTGAGGGGAGCAGCGGGCGGCTGGAGAGGTCTGCACGCCATGTGGGACCCTCCTCTGGTGGCCGGGGAGCAGCTGGGAATCGAACCGGCGCTGCAGAGGCTGCGGGCAGCCTCGCAACCCAGCGCTCAACCGCTGCACCACCGGGGAGGCCCCAGTCTGCTTGTTCTGTTCCCCGCTCTGTCTCTGGTGAATCCTCTCACCCTCCCACACCTCTGGCCTGTACCCCAGCTATTGCATAAATAAAAAATAAATCTTTATTTAAAAAAAAAGAAAAGGCAAGGAAGTGACTCTCCCCTAGAACTTCCTGGTGGAACACCAGCCTGCTGACACTTTCTTTTTTTTTTTTTTTAATATTTATTTATTTATTTATACAAGCACTGGGCACAGTCAGAAGCGCGGGAGGGTGAGAGAATTCACCAGAGCCAGAGCAGGGAGCAGAGCAGGCAGAAGGACCGAAGTACACTGCTGAGGGGAGCAGCGGGCGGCAGGAGAGGTCTGCGCGCTATGTGGGACCCTCCTCCGGTGGCCGGGGAGCAGCCGGGGATGGAACCGGCGCTGCAGAGACTACGGGCAGCTTCGGAACCCAGCGCTCAACCGCTGCGCCACCGGGGAGGCCCCTGCTGACACTTTCTTTAGCCCCATGAAATTAATTTTGGATTTCTTTTTTTTTTTTTTAAGATTTATTTATTTATGCTTACAAGAACTGCAATACAGGCCAGAGGTACGGGAGGGTGAGAGGATTCACAGAGACAGAGTGGGGAGCAAAACAGGCAGGCAGACCAAAAACACTGCTGAGGGGAGCAGTGGGCAAGACAGGAGAGGTCTGCTGCGCCATGTTGATATCTCCCTGGCTGGCCGGGGATTGAACCTGCGCTGCAGAAGCTGCGGACAGCTTCACAGTGCTGCGTTCAACCCCCTGCGCCACCAGGGAGGCCCTAATTTTGGATTTCTGATTGCCTAAATGGTAAGGTGATAAACTCCTCAGCATCATGCAGCTACGACAGGAGGTGCAATTTATTCTGGGTGAGGGAAGAGGTTTATTTTGACTCTGCAGGGCCCTTACAAAATCAGAATCAACCTCTTTCCCCAGCTGGAACTGGGGAAACCATAGATGTGGGGTCCCCATTTGAACTGTGACCTGGGTCGGGTGCTTGGGCAAGGCAGAGAGATGTGCCCCCTGAAAAGGGGGCTGGAAGAGTCTGTGGGAGGCAGAGGATAAAAAAGTGTTCAGAGATAAACAAGCATTTTTTTTTAAATCATAAAACTATGTGCCCCAGTTACTGGAGGCCCGGGGTGAAGAGCTGAGGGGGAGGAATTCTGCCTCCCCACGCTGGTTTCTGTTGCAGTTGGATGATATAGAATGTTTGGGGAAGAAGAGGGAACTTTTTCCTTAGCCACACATCTGAGATAACTGCAAATTGTTTCCTGAACAATCTCCTTGATTTTAACCTCCTGGGAACAGAGGGTGAATCTTGGCCTCCCGTGGATGTACCTGTCTCAGAGAGGGGGGCCAGAGTCTGCAGGGAGCACGCACTGGGCTTCACAGCTTCCCTGGTTAAAGGAAAAGGGTTTAAGTTAGGTGCTTGGAGGCCCCTTTCAAAAGCTTAAAATGTTGAATTCTTCTTGAAAAGGAGTATTTAACTATTTTGCATGTTTTTGGTATTATCTGGTTTATAGAAGTTTAGTTGTAATGGTTAGCATTCACATGGGCCTTGAGAGGCTTTCCAGTTATTTTCAAAGTTATTAGCTCATTAACCTCACAGGAACCTTTGAGGCAGATATTGTTATCATCCCACTTTGCCGCTGAGGAAACTGAGGCCATAATCTATGGCCTGACTGGTTCATTTTAGATGTCAGAGCCAGGATTTTGATCCTGTTTTCTGGCCACCTCCGCATCACAGAAGGAGCTCATAGATGATTCACTCCTGTCCTCACTTTGTGAGGCTGAAGATTTTTCTTGGGAATTCCACAGGGAATTGCCAGCAAACTGGATTGGGTCTTTCTTTGTAGGAAATCTTATTCCTGGACCCCAGGCCTCTACTTCAGGCCTGGACAGGTACCTTGGCTCACCCCGCTGTTATCCTATTATCAAGTATTCCCTAAGCTTGACACCGCCAGAGGGGCTCTGAGCATGGAGGAATGGACTGACAGAGGAAGCAAGTCATAGAGGCTAATGTGTGGCTCTGGAGCGCAGCAGTGGTTGATGGGGGGCTGTCATCCAGCAGAGTAGCACTAGGAGCACTTAGAGGGCTGGGCAGCCCACACAGAGGGTGAGCTGGCCCCAAATGAGAGGGTAAGAGGTCAACGTGACTAGTGGCCGGGCTAGGGAGGTTCTCTGCTCAATCTGAGTCCTCCCTACATACACAAAGCCAGAGGAGCTGGCGCCACGTTTTCTGGGTGTTGCCTTCCTTGCTGACCATTCTTTTGGCTTCATTATAGGAAACACCAGCTGAGCCCTGGCTGAGCCCTTCAGGGTTCCAACTGAGTGTGTGTGTGTGTGTTGTGGGGTGGGGGGTGTTGGGCCACACACGCAGGAGCGTGGCAGGTTGGTGCCCTCGGCCTCGTGGCAGACACAACCTCCCTGTCCTGGCTGATGGAATGATTTGTCTCTTCTGAGTCCCTTCTTTTGCCAGAAGTCTTCTGCCACTAGCGTTGCTATGTGGACATGGCAGGATGCAGTAAGCCTACTGATGGACTCTGTGGCTCTGAACCCCGAGTCCTCCTTTGGGGCATTCATGTGGCACCCTGGAGGCTCAGGGAGTAGACATCTCCCGAGACCCTTGTGACTCCTGGGCACTGTCTGTAACACACTGGCAGTGTGTAGCAGGGCCATGTGGCATTTTGGAAGTGATGTTGGCCCTGATGCCACTGTGATATGGGCAAAGTAACTTTTGCCCCCCAGTTCTCTCTCATTTGTAATGGAGGTAATCATAGAAACTACATCATAGGATGGTTGGGAGGAAGAAA